TCCAACGAGTCGGCGGCCCCGCTGGTCGCGGCAGCCCCGCTGCCCGAGGCGGACAACATGACGCTGCGGTACCGGTCCCTGGTCTACCAGCTTAACTTTGACCAGACGCTGAGGAATGTAGACAAGGCCGGCTCCTGGCCGCCCCGAGAGCTAGTGCTGGTGGTCCAGGTGCATAACCGGCCTGATTACCTCAAACTGTTGCTGGACTCACTTCGAAAAGCCCAGGGCATCGACAACGTCCTCGTCGTCTTTAGCCATGACTTCTGGTCGACAGAGATCAATCAGCTGATCGCTGGGGTGGACTTCTGCCCTGTACTGCAGGTGTTCTTTCCCTTCAGCATTCAGTTGTACCCCAACGAGTTCCCGGGCAGTGACCCCAGAGATTGCCCCAGAGATCTGCAGAAGGATTCAGCTTTGAAGATGGGGTGCATTAATGCTGAGTACCCCGATTCCTTTGGCCATTATAGAGAGGCCAAGTTCTCCCAAACCAAACACCATTGGTGGTGGAAGCTGCATTTTGTATGGGAAAGGGTCAAAGTTCTTCGAGACTATGCTGGCTTCATACTTTTCCTAGAGGAGGATCACTACTTAGCCCCAGACTTTTACCATGTTTTCAAAAAAATGAGGAAATTAAAGCAGCAAGAGTGTCCCGAGTGTGATGTTCTCTCCCTGGGAACCTATACTGCCCCTCGAAGTTTCTCTGGCATTGCTGACAAGGTAGATGTGAAAACTTGGAAATCCACAGAGCACAATATGGGTCTAGCCTTGACCCGGGATGCTTATCAGAAGCTGATCGACTGCACAGACACTTTCTGTACTTACGATGATTATAACTGGGACTGGACTCTTCAGTATTTGACTGTATCTTGTCTTCCAAAATTCTGGAAAGTGCTGGTTCCTCAGGTACCTAGGATTTTTCATGCTGGAGACTGTGGTATGCACCACAAGAAAACCTGTAGACCATCCACCCAGAGTGCCCAAATTGAGTCACTCTTAAATAGTAACAAACAGTACATGTTTCCAGAAACTCTAACTATCAGTGAAAAGTTTATGGCACCCGTTTCCCCACCTAGGAAAAATGGAGGGTGGGGAGATATTAGAGACCATGAACTCTGTAAAAGTTATAGAAGACTGCAATGAAAAATCAGTTACAAAAAGTGACAGTCTTCTATTTTTGATATTTGTACCAACAGGACAGACAATTGAATAAGAGTTTAGGGATTGGTTTCTGCTTTAATATGAAAAAAAATTCTTGTAAAAGGTGTACAATTATAGTACTCTTTTCCTTTTATGTCTGATTAAGATTTAAAATACAAGTTTTCATTTTGGGAGTTGGGTTTTAAAGCTCAATCTGTATCTGGGAAAGGTAATCATTACTGTGAGAGAAGAGAGGAAATTTTATTTAAATTGCATCTATTAATCTTTTTACCTGGAACTTTGTACACTTTTCCACTTTAAAACTTAAGTACAGCAAAATTTACTTAAAATTGTCATAGCAGTAGGAAGTATTACAATGAAATAAGTATTAATGGAACAAGCCCAGTTTCACTCTCCACACAGTTACTAGGAAGAGATTGCTTCGCTGGTTTTATAATTCAAAAGTTATGTTTGTTAAACACCCTGTCAAAACAATCAATTTCAGTATTACAGATTCCCATATTATTGTGTTAAGATTTGCCTGTGCTTTGGAACCTTCATAGAGCACATTTTCTTTTGGAATGTATTTGATTGATAAAAAATTTTAACACTGTTTCACCTCAATGTAGAAAAACAGTGGTTTTGTTTCTTTTTCTTTTAGTCTGCCAAAATAAAATACTCATTTTTGCATAAAAAGGTTCCTAATCATTTTGCAGAACAAATTTTGTTTACTCTTTACACCAAAATTCAGTAAAGACATTCTAGAAGTTTTAAAGTTAGCATTATATCTTCATGTTTACTGTTTGTACGTTGAATTGAAATAATAAAGAAAACCCAGCTCTTGACAATGTATTTCCTTTGGAAGAAACTAGCCAGGCATAGATAATGAACAATAAAAAGCTGCTGTGTAAGTGAAATACAGCCAGAAATGATACAAAGTTTAGTCATGCCAAAGTGAAACATGTTCTAGTGCCAGCTTTATTTTAACTGAAGTCATACTTTTTAAAAGGACAGATACAGTAAATAATAGGAAACAGGCTTAAAATTTACTCCACGTTTAATGTAGAAGTTTCCCGTAACAATATACAATTCCATTCAATCAAAAATTATAGACTAATTTCTGTGGAGTTATTAAAATTATTTCAATCTACGAAAATTGTGTTATTAAGTGGACATTTTCAAAATTACTGCTTCAAACTAAGATTCATGTTATAGTTGAAAAATGCGTCTGGTCATCTAAGTTGGGGCAAATAGTTCTCTTGCTTTGTGAGCTAGCCACATTTATACTGTTCTCAGCCCAGTCTGGTTCCAGACTTTACCAAGATTATAAATGTAAAGAATAACAGCTTTTGGTGTTCTGATCTGACCTCCCCAGTTCAAAGGACTAAAGATATTAGGTAATTTCCAGGACTAAGGTAAAGCCAGAAGTTTGAATTGGTAGCTGTTTTTCGAACAAATGGGGTCAGAGATTAGGTCAACAGATATTTTCTTTCATCCTGTCCTAAAAATTTTTGTGAGAAAAACATCTATTAGGATTTTCTTCTGACCTCAAATATAAATACTATTCCACAAAATTATTAACTTAGCCACAGATACATTACCTGCTGCCACCTTAAAGTCATTACTAAATAACCTATATTAAATATATATATTTTTGGTGCCAGATAAGAACAGTAAAATATAGAATTGAAGCAAAAATACTAAATTTCATTCAGTGTATTTGTATTATAATTATTTGAATTATTAATATTGGTTAGTAAAGTTCTTTCATCTCTAAGAATCTCTATTTCAAGCATAAATACATCTTATTTAGTGATATTTCTAAATACAGTTTTGAGATTCTGCCCCCCTTACAAATGCAACTCATATTTCTAGTTACATTCTTGAGAGTTGCTTTTTGCGACAGACACAACTTAGTGAATATCTTGAAACTTTTTATTAAAGTGTAATGGTAAATAAGCCTAAAACAAACAGAGAAGTAAATATATACAGGTTATATTAAAACTAAATGTTTAACTCTCAGAAATAATATACATCTCTCAGAGGAATCACAAAACTTATCTCCCTAATGAAGGAAGCTGTATAAACATGCAAAAAAATACCTCCAGTTTCCCCATTAGAATCAAAATTGCAAATTTTAATTCCTTGAATATCTTCAGTTTTTAAAGAGTAAACAGAAAACCTATTTTAAATCCAAAATATACTTTCTTGAATATCTTTGGTTTTAAGGTAGTAGTTTATAGAAATAGAATTTAAGTCCAAAAATTTTCTACTCTTAACCTTTAAATTCTGAAGAATTAATCCAAGTCATATAGCAAAGAATTCTGAAAACTGAATGCACAATGAGTCACATGATCTTTAATAATCTGCACACTACCATCCTGCATATTGGTTTCTTTTATGTTGTCAAAACCAGGAATATTCTGAACTGTTAATTCTTCCTCTTCAGTCATTACTGGTTCTTTTAAATTATCTTTTTCCTCACTTGAGTAAACACCTTTTTCTTCCATTTTTGACTCAGGTTGCTGAGACTTTCCAAATATTTGGGACACATCAAGAGAGTCTTGTTGCAAGTATTCAACTGAACCACAACTGTCTAATTCTAGTACTTTAACAGCTATAGATGAATCAGAAGCAGTTGTTGAGGTGGTAGGATGTTCTATTTTTTTTTTAGTTGGATGACTTCCTTCGTTGACTTTTTCTTCCTTTTCATGAAGCTGTTCAGAGTTACTACATTCTTGCAACTATGTCAAGAGAAACAACAAGTTAATAATTCTTTGAAATAAATAGAAAATTAAATTGTAGTACCATTGGGAATTTTTTTTTTTTTTTTTACGTTGTGAGGGAATAACCCTTGTAGACCTGCAGAAAGGCTTCTTCCTCCTCCAAGTCATCGTCCACATGCTGCCAGTCATTTACTGACAATGCAAATCTGGCCTTAATTCTCTGGTAATCATTTCAATGACTCATCTCCCTCAGGATAAAATAATCCTGGTTTACAAACCCTTTAGCAGTCATTCTTACTAGTAAGGGCATTCTTGAATTTTCTTGAATTTCTGTGATTCTTCAAAGCCACTCTCCCCCACAATTCATAAATGCCAATTGTGCTAGTTAACTAAATCATTTCTGTATTTAATACTGATGACTAAAAATAACCAAACTTAAGATTCAACTAGAAAGAATGAACAAACTGTGTGGCATGGTTACCATGGTCCCTGGACTAACTTCCCAAATGTCAGTTTTTTTCTATTCCTCATTCGACATTTATTTTGGGATTAAATTAGATAATATATATGAAAATGAACTGCAGTGTTTAGCACATAGTGAAATTCATGCAAAAAACTCTATTCCTCTTCCCAGCCATTATGTACACTTAGCTTAAAGTTTCAACATCAAAAATTAAGTTATTCATTAGGCTTTAATTTTGTCCTAAGTCACTATTCTACAAGGCCAATCAAAATTCTTACCTTTGTATGAATTTGAATCTTACTATCAGTAACCTGAAGAACTTCAATTAACGGTGAAGTTAGGGGTATTGTCTGTTGGAATGGAGGGCTCAGGACCTCTTCAAGAAATTCATTGACATTTTCTTCATTGACAAATAACCTTTCCTAAATTAAAAAGAAAACATATTCTGCTTTATAGGTCATACTTCACAGTGTTATATAAAAACAACTCATAAAAGTTCTCACATAGTTCAGGATTACACTTTTAAAATGTTTAATGTTATTTCTATGCTTTCTTGGCAAAAGAAAACAGTCTTGTACACAGCAAGAGTGCCCAGCCAGCATGGCTCAGTGGTTGAGCGTCCATCTATGAACCAGGAGGTCATGGTTCAATTCCTGTTCAGGGTACATGCAGCGATCCCCAGTGGGTGGTGCAGGGGGCAGCTGATCAGTGATTCTCTGTCATCACTGATGTATTTCTCTCTCTCTCCCTCTCCCTTCCTCTCTGAAATCAGTAAAAATACATTTTAAAAAAATAGCAAGAGAACATACACATATAGGAAAAAAACCCTAAAAAAAAAAAAGTTCAGTTACTCTTCTTCGTCTCTATTGAATCTAGGTATGTTTTCTCTCTTAGATAATCTAAATTAAAAATTGTATTTTCTTTCACTTTTTTCTCTTAATATTTTATGAGAAATACATCACCTTTTGTTTTTGTTTTTTTTTGTTAATCCTCGCTCGAGGATATTTTTTCATTGATTTTTAGGGAGAGTGGAAGAGAGAGGGAAAGAGAGAGAAACATCAACATGAGAGAAACTCATTGATTGGTTGCCTCCTGCACGGGCCCCAACCAGGGCCTGGGCCAGGGAGGAGCCTGCAACCAAGGTATGTGCCCTTGATCAGAATTGAACCCGGGATCCTTTATTCTATTTATTATGCATACTTTTTTTTAAAAAAAATTTCAGAGAGGAAGGGAGAGAGAGAGTGAAATATCAATGATGAGAGAATCGTTGATTGGCTGCGTCCTGCAGGCCCCACACTGGGGATCAAGCCAGCAACCCAGGCATGTGCCCTTGACCGGAATCGAACCCTGGACCATTCAGTCCGCAGGCCGACGCTCTAGCCACTGAGCCAAGCCGGTTAGGGCTGAACCCGGGATCCTTTAGTCTTAAGGCCAGCACTCTGTCCACTGAGCCAAACTGGCTAGGGTTAGTTCTTGTTCAGGTAAGAGCTAACTGTAATATTTTATGTAAAAGAAGTATATTTTACTTTTAAGCAATGAGAAAAATCCAGTGTGACACCAGCATATAGCTATTTATAAGAATGATATAGTTTACCAAACTATTAGGAAATGCAAAAATCACATTCACAAAAATCCCAAACACAAAGCAATTTCTTCATATTTATGTCAAGCGAATACAGAAATATTGTTAGGGCACTAAGAGAATAACTATATTCATAAAATAAGTTCATTGTTGCCCAAAGTAAAAGTATTTTCCACTGCACTTTATTATAAATAAATTTAATAAGTTCATTATTTAGTCAAAATGAGGACAAAATATGAAAGAGACAAGTTTCAAGTTTCCTTCTATTAAACACTGTTTGAACTTGGGAACACCTACCAAACAAGTGAACCTCGGGAACAGAAAAAATTTATTTTTGGAGTAATTTGCCTTGCTATTATTTGAAGATCCAGAATAATACTGTATTATAAAAATGCCCCCATCAAAAGCATTTCTAAGTTTCCTGTCTCTGGAAAAGACTTAACATTAATTGTAAAAATATATACCAAATAGTTTAGTTTTTTAGTTTACCCAAGGAAAAATAATATGTATTTAGAATAGAAATGGTTATGATTAAAATGCAATTTGCATAAAATTGTCTTCACATTCTGATAACTGATTTTACTATAAAAGATACTGTATTCAGTGGAACTAAAGCTTTAGGAAAATTCCCAGTAAATATTTAAGGCTTATATAAATATATTTTGTACTTGTTTATGTGTAAAGTAACAATTCTGAACTTGACAGCCACAAATCAACCTTACATTATAATTATTTTCATATAATATGTGTAATATATCTATTATCTACCCACCTACTACTCTTGTGATTTTTCCTTATTTATTAATTTTCAAGAAAGAGGAAGGGAGAGTGAGAGAGAAGTATCTATGTGAGAGTGAAACATGGATCAGCTGCCTCCTGCTTGCCCCCAACCTTTCCCAACCAACTGAACCACACCAGCCAGAGCTACTCCTGTGATGTTTTAGAAATTTAATAAGAGCATGGTCCAGTGACAGTGAACTGTAAAATAAAAAACATTATGATTCTGTCAGTCTTAGGAAATGTGATTACTAATGAAGAAATTATAAATCTATTTCAGGTTTCAAAGATATGACACAGTCGCCATAATCTCATTTTTGTCTGGTTTCTTTGCTAAAATAATGTTATCATACTAGAAAATCAGATTAAAATATATTTTTTAGTATTTTCTCAACTGTCAACAAAGCTTTCTTCCCATATTGTGAGTTATTTTCACATTTATTAAGACAATTACAGGAAAACGACTGCCCTTTCCTAAATTTTCCCTTCGAATGACATAAACAGATAATCAATTTCCTATTTTATATTATCACAAAGTATTTTACCAAGCCCTGGCTACTTACTTTACCACTTTTAGAAGCTTTCAAATTAACCACTTCTCACAGAAGATATCCCTCATAAAATGTAAATGTAATTTAGCAAGTTTCTAGAAAAACAATGGGGAAGAAGTGAAAATTTCTGGCAGGTTAAAGCCCAAGGCTAAAAACTTAATTTTTAATATATAATCTGTGCAATTTGTGTTGTTTTTGGGAATTAAACCCTTGAATATGTTAAAAGAGCTTTAAAATTTACATGTAACACTGATACCTCAATCAAAACCACGAATTGTTCATTTGTGAGTTTACAAAGTTCTTTCGAACTTCAAATTTAATTTTTTTCAGTATTTGTCCGTAGTTTATATTACACTGTTAAATGCCAGCCATTGTGTAAAACACTAGATGATTAAAACAGATGCAAAAAGAGATGTAATTTCAATGTAACATAATGCCCACCGGAGGACAACCCTACCAAGATCAGCCACTAAAATCAAGCAGCACTATATGGTCAAAAGGGCAGGGAATTTATTTAGATTGACACCTCATTCTGAATTCATTTTTCTACATAAGAAATGTGGCTAAGTGACTTTTGCTCTCTGGAAGTAAGCTGTTTATTTTCTAAAGTTGGACAGTATTACTTACCAACTTAAAATATGGCCCTAACAGAGTGCCTCTCAAACTCTAATTAGTCATCAACCCCTTTGAGAGTATGACTAAAGTTATAGCCCTTCTGCCCAGAAGAAAGCACCCTCAACTTTCTGCATACAATCTGGGAGGTTTATGGATTTCTGGGAATGCATTCATGTCCTCCTCAGTCAATGGATTCCGGGGGAAAAATGCATTAAGGACAATTTTGAAGGTTTGAAACCCATCCATCAGAAGGGATGCGTGAGTGTTTCTTCAATATGCGTTTAACGTGCACTGACATCTTTCATCACGTGTATCAACTTCAAGTAATTTCGAGAGAAGTTCTAATGAAAAACACTTTGTTCAGAATGCACTGAGGGGATGTAATTTTAAAAGTAGGATGGAATATTTCAAATACTAAGACTCGAGAAAGAACTGTTACCTCCAAAGAATCGTTGTTTAAACCATAATACCACTCTCTCCAATGTCCATAGCACTCTGAAGATTTGGCCAGTTCTATTACTGCATTGTTTGAAGAAATGCTAACCACTGGTTCTTTGATACTCAATTTATTTTCTGGAGCAAACTGCAAAAAGAAGGAATAATAAAGTAAGTCTTGGGTGGAGAAGCACAATTTGTACCGGAGGGAGCTCACATCCCCTTGAAGACTTTGCGGTTGGATCCGAGGCACTAGGATGAGCAGAGTCAGGGATTCTTCATCCTGATGACACTGCAACGGAGGACACAGAGGTCCCCGGCTGTCTGTCCCGGGACCATCCATGGCTGGATCGGAAGGCTCCGTGCCCGAGTCTTCCCGGGCCACGCGGGTCCCGACGCTGAGACCTCCGCACACACTCCCTCCTCCTGCAGGAGGCCCCCCGTCTAGGTCCCCGGGCGAGCTCCCAGTTCCGGGAAGCGGTTTCTCCTCGATCCCGGCAGTAGCCACCGCTTGCCCGCCGAAGTCCGGTTCCGGTTCGGAGACAAGTTCCTCCCCTGCGGCACCCGGCGTGGTGATCCCGGAGTCCCCTTCCCCGGCACGACCCGCAGCGGGGCCCGTCTCTCTCCTGCAGGAGGCCCCCCGTCTAGGTCCCCGGGCGAGCTCCCAGTTCCGGGAAGCGGTTTCTCCTCGATCCCGGCAGTAGCCACCGCTTGCCCGCCGAAGTCCGGTTCCGGTTCGGAGACAAGTTCCTCCCCTGCGGCACCCGGCGTGGTGATCCCGGAGTCCCCTTCCCCGGCACGACCCGCAGCGGGGCCCGTCTCTCCTTTGCGAGCGGAAGTGCAGGCCGCTGTCAGT